TCAAGTGGCTGAATGGCTAACGAGCTAGGTGTCATAACCTGAAGGTGGCGGGTTCGATCTGTGTTGGGTTATGAGTATGTACTGTGGATGAGTCTCAAAATAGGATGAACCGGCTGTCCAGTACTTCCAAGTTTTTGATGATTTCTCTCATTGGTGTTGATTCGTCACGAAATCTAACGACTGGAATTCAATTAATCTAAATTACCACAGTTCCCAAAATCTAAACGTATACATGAGAACAAAAATGATGCATTTGGTGACCTAATTACTCATTACACAGAAAGTTATAAGTTGTTATTAAGAAGACAGAGCATACCGTGAACTCATTCCAGACAAAATAAAATAAATTAAAATAATACTGACAAGGTGTGATTGGGATTCATGGTGGCAGAGGTATGGTACTTAGGATATGACAGGGTGTATTATTATTATTGTTCCCTTGGGTTCCTAGTGGAACATAGGGCTTCAACTGCACGTCTCCACTTGCTTCTGTCTCCTGCTGTACTTTTCACCTGCGTCCATGTTAATCCATACTGTTTCAATTCCTCTTCACACGATCTCCTCCATGTCACCCTTCGACGTCCCACTCGCCGCTTCCCTTTCGGGTTCCACTCGAGCGTTGGCCTGACGCGCGATGTCACCCAACGGCCTCCTCAGCGAGTGTCCAAACCATCTCCACTTTCTCCTGCATATTTGTTGGGCGATTGGTTCTTGTTTTGTTTGTTCCCATAGTTTCTTGTTTGTGATTCTTTCCGGCCATCTGATCTTCAGTATAGAGCGAAGACAGTTGTTGATAAAGGTCTGCAACAGGCTGTTGGAAATATTCTTTGTGACCCGCGAAGTTTCTGATCCGTATAGAAGAACTGACTGACTTGACGTTTGTATTGAAAATCCGAATTTTGTTGTTGATGCAGGCTGAGTGACGAAGATTTCCAGATTGGTTTCAGGTTGATGAATGTATTTCTCGCCTTCCCGATTCTCGATTTGACATCCTCGTCCGTTCCTCCTGTAGTTGAGACAATGCTCCCTAGATAAATGAATGAAGTAACCTCTTTCAAATCCCTCCCGTTGATGGTGATTGGCGATGGATGTTGCTGCTGTTGTTGTAGAATAAGATTAAAACAATGAAGGACAGACCAAGAGAAAAGATTACTGACATAACATATTTAATGGATTGCGGAAAGTGTTAGAAAAACTTGAATAATGTTTAACCATCGTAAGACATTATAACAGATAATAAGACGGTAAGTAAATAAACAAAAAATTACTAAGACAATGTGAGGTAGACCACACAATCCTTCTGTACGCATACATTAGGCGCCGATATTCGAACTGCTGCTCCTACTGTGATGAGTGCTACTTATAATTCGATATAAGTAATATATCAGAAACGAATTCAGAAAAGTAACAATATGTTTGGCACACTGGGAAGAGCAATCAAAGAAGAGAACCATGAGAAGAATGTTACCAAATGATGCAGAATCCAAGAAGCTATCGAGTGTGACGATATTCGACCAATTTGTCAAGGATGTGGTAAATAATGTGCAAATGGCAGATTGGGAATATGGTATACCAAATTTAGCTATGTACATAAACATTCCTTAAAGCTTCCTCGGTCTTTTTTTCTTTACACTACCACAAATCACAGAAACCTACTACTGTTCTGTCTATTTACTTGCCAGTAAACTGTGCTGGGATTGAAATCCCTTTGCCAAGGACTCTCAGTTTTTCCTACATACATTCTATTGAAAGTACGGGTATACAAATAAGTGCATTTGGTGGTAACCTGAAGGTTTTTCAAAACCGGATTTGTTTTTCCAAGCGTGTTCTTTGTGTTGTAGACTACTACTAATTTCTGAAACGTTAGGATAATACATGCACTCAATCAGCGATTATTTTGTGAACTTATTCGTTCGCCACTTAAGGATGATATAATAAGATGTTAGTCATTATTAATAAATATTTCTACAAAGTTAGTCAAAATTCAGCAGAACGGTGGGCGATTGCATTTTCTGTTTATTTGGCGAAAGCTTTATCATTGAAGTGATATGGAGTCAGTACTTTGTGTACAGAAGATTACTGTTTTGACGTGGTTGCTGTCTCTGGGCTGGGTGGTTCAATTTCAGAAGTTGCATTTTCCTTCTAGACAACATCTTTGGCCTGTTCGAAAACACCCAGTTCACAAAGGATAAAATTCCTTCCTCAGATTTCTTATTAAAGGGAACAAACAAATGTACCCAGGATGTCAACTCACGCATTCAAAATACTCAAATACACCAGCAAAAATCCAAAAGAACGCAAAAGAGACCGCGTAAAAACAGGTTTTCTTTTTTAAAGAGCGCAAACACAATGCAGTATTTCGACCCTGAGGAGAATTTAATAGAACTATTTATTGACTTTCTTCCGGGAAAAATATCTAAACTGAAATGAAACTATGGGAATAATTAATATATTGAAATGAAAATGTAAACAAGAAACAATCCTCAGAAACCATATGAAAATCTACCCTAACATATGTTCAGAATTTGTAAAAAATTATATTTGGAAAATCTCAGCGATATTGAAATGAGTAATTCCAACGTTTCGTTCGGAAGTCTGGTCCGAACTTCTTCAGGGAAATTAATGGAAATTAACATAACATAGGTTTATATATAAAAGGAACATCACTGTACTTAGAACACAAGATATAGATAGGTTTTTTGAACATATCAACTCGAAGGTTGAAGCAATTCAATTCACTTATGAATTGGAAAATCAGGAAGGGGAGCTCCCAATTTTAGATTGTAACGTAAAAATGAAAGAAGATGGGAAGTTAAACACTAGTGTTTACAGGAAACCCACACATTCGAACAGATATTTGGACTTCCGATCATCCCATCCTATGTCAGTAAAAATAGGATTGGTGAAATGTTTAAACGACAGAGCACAAAAATTAAGTAGTACCAAAGAAAATCTAAAACAGGAACTGATACACATAAAAGAAGCCTTAAAACTTAATAATTACCCAGATAAATTAGTCAGGAAATATGTGAGGAAATGTAAAAACAAAATAAATAATGATAGTAGCGATAGTGATAATAACAAAAATAATGATAATGATAACAGTGATAATAATAATAATATTAATGACGACACCAACAATAAGAAATCTAAATCATCAGTAGTAATTCCATACAAGGAAGGAATCTCGGAAGCCTTACGCAGAATTCTTAACAAGGCAGGAATAAAAACGGCATTCAAACCCACAAACTCAATTAGAAACAAGCTTTGTCGCTTAAAGGATCAGTCCTGTGGAGCCAATAAAACAAAACAATTCAGTTTATCTAATACCCTGCAATGATTGTCAGGTCAAATACATAGGTCAAACTAGTAGAACAGGGGCAGTCAGACTAGCTGAACATAAAAACTTAGCAAAATCTAGATTGGTTGACCCGAATAAGATAAGAAATCTAGAAAATAGTTCAGCTATAGCACTACATGCAGTCACACACAACCATACAATAGGATGGGATAGGGTGACAGTTTAAAAATCTAATATCACAGGGTATAGGGAGAGATTGATAACAGAAGCTTTGTTTATCGAATCAACTACAAATACATGTAATAGGAATGATTCATCACCTGTCCCCGATATTTGGAAAATTCTACTACCCATACGACAAATAGGAGAGAACAAAGAAAACTATAAAACTCAAGTGTCAAAGTCGTGTGATCACAATTGATATGATTATGAACAATAAATTTTGTTCGTAACGTCATCCAGTAAATAATACTGTTTCACTGTGTGATATACCTAATAAACAAACTAATATGGAATTACTTACTACCACAGTGCCCAAGTTTTACACATATATGAACATCACTTGTTTTTAAAACTTTATCCAATCATGAGTCATTCAAAAAGTATCAACAAGTATAATAAACAAAATTTTATGAGGTGTGATCAAAATTTGACCTCGGACTTATAAATATTGGTCTACCTTTGTTAAATACTTTAAACAGAGTGTGCATGCGTGTGTGTGTAAACAGTTGTAAAAGCATTTCTTAACGTCTCCATAGGAAGATATAGACAGTCAGGAATTTGACCAAGTATTATTAATTAGTGATACATATCCATTTTTATTTATTAATCAGGATTTCCTATGCATCAGCTAACATCAAACCTTCATGTCCGTTCAAACTGCTAGTATCTAGAATTTTATGATTAGACGTATTTTCAAAATTATGGTGTTTAGGATTAGAGTTTAGTACTTCACTCAGTCGTATTTAGACCAAAAGACCAACTGAACAGTAAGAGGAGATATGATCAACACTATCTACAAACCAATTTGCATGCACTGTATGTCATAAGCATCCTATTGGTCAAAGTTGGCGTCTCCTATGTCTTCAAATCCAAAAACATAAATTAGCCGTCAAAAGGCGTGATATGCATCCTTTCATACTGATGCATGTTGGTAACTATGGACACCAGTTTGACTGAGAAAACGTGGAAATTTTAAGCGGTTGAAAGCTTGAAAGTGACAGGAGATTCCTAGATGAGGGATTTATACAGATCAAATCTATTAACTAATTAAGAGTAAGCCACATAATAGAAAAATCGATTTCCAAGTCAAAAAACCGATCAGTACTAATTCATATTAACAAACAATCACGAAAGAGTCTGTCGAGAGATACAATCATATTGCTCATGGAGAATTCATATAAGTTCACTTCAAACTGAAGTTCCCTTTGAAGACGTTGTTTAGAAGGACAATCAAAGCTTCGCAATTAAACCGCCTAGATCAGAGAAGGTTAACACATGAAAGTCAATATTGTGAAAGTTTTATGTACAGTCACTTTCTCTTAGTCCGAATCCCCAGTTCCCAGGTTTATTTCTCTTAAAGGTTTTTGACTAACTACCAGTTCAAGCTCAAAGTTGATCAACTTGCTTTTTTTCTTGGTGTCTGATTTTTTTAAGTTCGTAATTCTTAAAAAAGTATTTTAATTCACTCATTTTTTAGAGACCGCCAACTTTAATTGCTTTTCCTATTATTGCAATTATATCATTTGGAGTATGTTATTTCATTTCAAGTACTATACTAACTATCTTACAAGTAAGTTAGCGATTTGCCTCCTTCACAATTATATATATATATTAAGAAGTTACTCTTTTTTGAAAGTGATGAAGTTAAATTTTTGTATAATTACCATTGAATATTGAATGTTTTGAAATGTTTACAGTGATTATTTTAAATTGATGATAAGTACGGTTATTCATTTCCAGAATCATTTCTCATAAATCATGTCAAATATCCACTTTGAATAGGATTAAAACTGACAAAACCAATACTTGAAAATTGACCTGTTGCTCACTAGAGACTAGCACTATTCAGGCAGTGACCTAGGGTTATAGTGGGAAGCCGTGACCAGTAGGACATCAGGTTGAAGGTGAGGCAATAACTTATCGAAGGAGACACTGCGAAGTGGCAGCGCTATGTCATGAATTGGCAGAAGTTAGAATTCATGGGCTGGCCACTGCATCAGGTCCAAGTGGCTTAATGGCATACGAGCTCGTTAGCCTTGTAACCAGAAGGTTCTGGGTTCGAACCTTGTTGGTGAGTGTGTACTGCTGGAGAGTCCGAAGCTAGGATGAGACAGCTGTCCAGCACTCCCACCTTTCCCAGTGGTTCTCTAAGTGATGTCAGCTCATGATGAAATCCTGCAACCAATCAAACAAAATCCTTACAAAACCAATACTTGAAAATTTTGTGATCATGACTAAATTATTGAAATGGGACAGATTTTTCTTCACGTAGGAAATATGAATGGGAGAAGTAAAATTTTAGATGCCCAACAGAGTCATACACACCGATGAACTGGGAAAGCAAAGTTAGGGCAAGGCAGTGGAGCCAAGTAAGTGAAGCAATATTCATGGAAAATTTGTAGAATGGAGTGGGATGATGTTAGTAAAGGTTAAGTGAAAGAAATGTCATCCAATATTTTTACACTTCTTCAACTAATTTTTCGCGGCTCCACTAACTTGTTGTGCTTGTATTTTTTAAAGTCATTGATGCTGTTGTTCCTCTAGGTCGATGTACTTTAATTTGACATTAAACAGAGTACCTGGTTGGTTAAAGGTTAGGTTAGGTTAGGTTAGGAGAAGATTAAATTCAGACTTTAGCTAGCTATGGATTACAATTAGTTTAACCCAGTTAGGGAGATACTGAGGTTGGTTAGGGATAGATTAGAGTTAAGATTAGGTTAGGAAACCATTAAGTTAGGGATTGAGTAAGAGGGACCTAAATTCTCTGTTTGAGTGCGGTTGTTCATCCCCAGGTTACTAGGGCATTTGTTCCCCCAGAGTGTTTGAACTTTGTTACTGATTGTAAACGACAGCTCCTCGTTGATACAATATGCATTAATTAAGAATGATAGCCTGAATAAAATTCCAAAAATCCAATTCAATCTACGAAATGAAGAGAATCATCATAAAAATGGGATTCCACAGACTTTACACGATATACTCCTCTCTGATATTAGTAATCAGCAGTCACATGCTGATGGGATAACTCCAATACTTGAGGAATGGTCTAATTCATTTGAGACCAGTTTGATCATTTGAACCGACATAGTTATAATTATGAACTGGTATGAATGACTGATAACTACGCATATCTGTCACTAGTGGAATCTGTGATTAATAAGAAATGTAAAGGAAATCGAGTACTTTTCACTTCAGATGAACATCCAGCATTTATCAACCACATGTAGAAATCTTTACTATATTTCATGAGCACCAACATAGGAAGCTGCTTGTGTTTGTCATTTATCTGATCAATGAAAGAAGATATTGTGGTATGATCGGTAATATGACATAACGTATTGCAAGCGATCTCTGCCTAACTCACTAAGGAACTATTCTGATCGTTAGTCACAGCATCAACTATAACAGTGACATTAGCGACAACATCAGCAGGAGTAAAGAAAAAGAGAAGACGGATTTCACTGACGATAAAAGCAGTGAAGACAGCTGAAAATGGTACTAAATGTGGGTTCTAAGTGACTCTGAAAACATTGGTTTCACGGATAAGTATGGCGAGTTGGTAACTTATGGAAGTCTTGTCTTCAAAAAATAGTGAGGTATACAATGCGGCATGCAGTGCAAAGAGAGCACGTGTTATGGCCTAATATCAGGTAACATCGAACAGTATTACATAGTGGAAAGTTAGGTAAAACCCGATTTCACAACGATTTCCTTCAGTATATATGTACTTAACTTGTGTATTATTATTATTATTGTTCCCTTGGGTTCCTAGTGGAACATAGGGCTTCAACTACACGTCTCCACTTGGTTCCGTCTTCTGATGTACTTTTCACCTACATCCATGTCAGTCCATACTGATTCAACTCCTCTTCACACGATCTCCTCCATGTCACCCTTGGACGTCCCACTCGTCGCTTCCCTTTCGGGTTCCACTCGAGGGCCTGACGCGCGATGTCACTCAACGGCCTCCTCAGCGAGTGTCCAATCCATCTCCACTTCCTCCTGCATATTTCAATATAGAAAATTGTTGTGTATTGTAAAAATGCTATATATATTAGAGTAGAGCCAGAGAAGAGGATCTAATTGAAAAGTAAATATTTCTTCGCTCAATCTTTTGTGTTTTCCTGCATATTTGTTGGGCGATTGGTTCCTGTTTCGTTTGTTCCCATAGCTTCTTGTTTGTGATTCTTTCCGGCCATCTAATCTTCAGTATGGAGCGAAGACAGTTGTTGATAAAGGCTTGCAACCTGTTGAAAATATTCTTGGTGACCCGCCAAGTTTCTGATCCGTAAAGCAAATTTGACTTCACGTTTGTATTGAAAATCCGAATTTTGTTGTGTATACAATGAAAAATGACTTTTGATAGAGAAAGAAAGACCAGAACTGCAGTATAAAATGATATTATTCTACTTCATACGTTCTCATCAGCTGCACAAGGTATCCACAAGGTCTCTGGTAATTGATGAGTTCATCTTATCGTGTTTTCTCTATTACCTTTGAAGCATTGAGTTATGAAATGTTATTATTGATAACCATTGTAATTTCAGGTAGTTTGTAGCTGATGAGAACCTGTGAAATGGAATGATGATATCACTTTATACTGCAAATCTTGTCATTCTTTCTCTATTGAAATTTATCAAGGGAACCAAATGTATGAAAAATGACTTTGATAGACATTCCCTGTTGCTATTAGATATTATTGTAACATATTTGTAAACTTTATTCAGTTCAGAGTTAGTAAAGCATCTTCAGTGAAGAAGAACCAATCATAATTTAACCTGGTACTCCTTAATTCATTAGAAGGAAAGCATCGTAGCATACAAAAGATCAGTACGATTAAATTGTTTACTAAACAATACCTTCAAATGAATACAACTCTGATTTAAATATGTGATAATAAAAAGCAGATTGTTTAGTCTATCCACTCGCTATGATTGTAACTGTTCACTTACCAGATCCCACTTTAGATTATCATAAAGGAGTTCTATTTAAATGAATTAAAATTCTATATTAAATCAATTTTGAAATGTGCACATTTCGAGGTAAAATTTCACCACAGTTCCAATTGAGAACCAAAATTAATCAGATGCCAAAATGTGTGGTCTGCTTGATACCGTAAATGGTTACTAAGATATCAGACGTAGATGCATGACACTACATACGACTGAGCGACTTATATCACTATTCGGACAACACTCACATTAACGGGTAATGATTGCTAGCCAAGTTGAAGTGATCTAAATGCCAGGCAGTGCTTTCGCTTCTTTGAGGTCAGTCTCAATAATGGTATAACCAGTTTGGCCCAGCCTAGATGAAACATTTCCTACTCCAAGGTCTTAAACTCTGTAATCACTTCAAACAGGTTTTCGTTTGATGAAACGATTATCTCTGAAGGTATGAAATTGAAAGTTATTTAATTGACCACAAGATTTGAATAAGAAACACAACAAATGAACCAACTAAATGAATTTGAAGCTAGTTCACTTTGTTAGGAGAATTAAAAAGGAGGTGAGAGTTTCACTTTTGTGAGTTTCAAGAAAAAACCAGCCAATTTTCACTCAAGACTCTGAGTTTCATATCCTGAAAAAAATTATGGAATTTAAAAGAGCGTTTTGATTAATTTAAACTCAGTGATAATCTGCCATAAGGAAGCTGTGTTAGATGATTTCACCAATACAATCTGCTATTATTAGAATATATATGAATGAAAGTATTTTGGCGATTCAACATTAAATTTTAACCAAGAATACAATATTCAGTGAAGAGACTCTTTTCAACTCTCTGCACAATCGTATATACACACATATACGGTTCTTAAGAAATTATATCTTGTATGGATGTTGGAATGGGGTGTAAAATTCTAGGATGAATAGGCGAATATAAAGCGTTACATAACATGGTGTGAAGTTTGATAAGATTGAATCCAAGGTTACGAAAACAATTTTGGGTTTAGAATGACGAGCGGGACAAGTGAAATAATACCGGATGCAGTTCAAAGCTAGAATAGTAATAATAATAATCGTAGTAATGAGGGAAAAGAAAGTAGATTAACTAAATAAACAAAATAAATAAATGTCAACCCCCCTACGGCCAGGACCGAAATAGGAATTGAACATACTTCTTGTATACGCAAGGATCTGGCTTTAATTCATGAATGGTTAAGGCATTCACTGTCTAGACAAGTTTAGCATGAAGAAAATGCTGCAAGTTAATATGAATTCGACAGATGACGTTAAAATCATAGTCAGGGTTGGTAGAGTGACAGCAGTCGATCAAGTGTTCCAAGAATAGAGCTTCTCACACCCTTCCCTTTCCCATTGTAAAACCATGCTGGAATATATTCTAGTATCAGTGTGGATAGCCTTATCTAGCCACGGTCAATGTACTTTGTTCTACGAGAGCAAGCGAACTGATCGATACACATGGAGGCAGTCAGACAAGGGAATTTATCTTCTACAGAGACGAATAACAACTTATGACCGGTGAACATCATTTGTGATTTTGCAGCAAAGAACGTGAAGATGGTTTTCTCCGGAACTGAGTCAGTGACCAGTTTGGATTGCTTATTTT